ATGCAAAACTATGACATAAAAACTCCCAATTTCTAATACACAATCTATATATAAAAAAGAGACGACATCTTCGCCCGCTGAATGATCCTGTCTTTGTCGGGCCCCAAATATCTGTGTGAACAAACTCTAAAATATTTTTTGTACTGTGGATGACAGTCCTAAAGGATACCTGTGTCTTCACATAATGTTCACAGAAATTAAGTTTACAAGTGTTTGTTCATTTGATCAATCCTTTCTTCACCAAAGACTGAAGTGAAGTTTCTCCATCATGAGCTAGCCGCATATGCCACAACATAATAACGTCAGAAAGATTATCAACAATAATAGTCGTTCCAGTCATTGTACTACCCTGAAGATTGTAAAGAATGTGATGATGAACTCTTTTCATAAAAACCATTGCTCCACGACATATCCTCATAACTCCTGCCTCCATAGCCTTTGGATTCTAAAGCCAAAACTTACAATAAATTCTTCCTGATATCTAGAATATCTTTATCATCTGTCAGCTCCCCCACAATACCATCATAAATCTTGATAAAGATACTCTCTACACTAATACTACCACAAGCTTGATCGTTGCCCACAGTCACTTAACCACTATCTAGATCTTTGTACGTACAAAACCATCCTTGATGAGAACAAATATGATAGACAACACCTGTATAAAAAATCCAACATGAATCATTTATAAAATAACTATGAGACACTGTAGATAACGATACAACTAAATCCGCCTCTTCAGACCTTTCCACAATGAAATTGGCTTTCACCTCAGATGCAACTTTCTTTCCCTTCTCCTTCAGCTTCGGACAATCTTTCTTCCAATGATCAGTAAGTAAGCACACAAATTTTTCCCAAGATTACGCCCATGAGACTTGCCCTGCTTTTGAGAAGTATCTGTGCTGCCACCCTTCTTTGTCAAATTCTTCTTCTTCTCAATCTACTACTTGGGAGTGTAAGTGCCTCAGTTGTTTCCATCTTTGGAGAATCCTTTTCCCTTTGATGGAATTCATGATTCAACAGTGACAAAATCACTTCACCATAATTCAAGACCTCATTCCCATGAATGAGTGTCATAGTAAAGTTTTCATACTCATCCAGGAGCGAATTCAACTGAAGAAGTGCCTTATCTTCATGTTCAAACTCTTCATCCAAATTTATCAATAGCTTTGTGAAGTCATTCGAGTGCTCATCAATAGTAACTCTCCATCTCATCTAAAATTTGTTGAGTTGACGCTTCATGAGAAGATGATTGTCCACGCTCTTCGTGAGATATTTGTTCTCCAACATCCTCCATAATTTTCGTGTAGAAGTCTCCATCATCACCCCATATTTGATTTCTTGAGTCAAATAATTTTGGATCAAGCCACAAACACTTATGTTCATCTTCAACCAATTTATCTCTAACATCTCTTCAAGACATTCCTTGCTAGCCAGTACTTCCTCCGGATTCAGAGATCACATCACATCTATCTTCTCGCATCGCCACATGCCAAAGTTTCCTTTATCATAAAATTTCAACACATTAATTTTGAGGAGATGCTTAACCACCTGATGAATCGACTTTTTCACAGTCATAGTGGACATTGAAGAACCCGACATCGTGTTATCATTATGTTTTTCAAAATTGTCTTCACAAATCACGGGCTCTGCTCCACAGAATCAAATATTGGGTTCTTTCTTTCCCTGCTCCACAAAATCTCAGAATTCTTCGACAAGCTGGACTGTCGGGCAGAATGCTCAGGCGTACCACGCTGGATAGTCGTATCAGACCACATCGAATCCTCCGCTAGCGCCTGTTTCATGCCAAAATCCCCGTTGAAGCTCACCAAAGCACCGCCAAATCCTTCTGAATATGCCGACAAAGTACGTCAGACCACATGCTGCACAAAACGCCAACATCACACGTCGAATATGTTGTTGTCGACGCCATATCTTTACTCCGATTACAAACCCAAAACTCTAATACCAATTGTTATGAGAATATAATGCAAAAACGTAGAAATTCACACAACAACAATCAAACACAAAAGATTTACGCGGTGCAACGTTAAATCGATTCACTAATGTCCACGAGAGGGAGATTTCACTAGCACTGGATGGGGAGAAAGAAAAACTGCTTGGCAACTCTTCTCACCATACACCTCTCTTTGTCTCTCATAAAAACTATGTCATTTTTTATAGAGGAGGACTAGAGCATACAAGAAAATAAATAAAAAGAAAAAAAAAAACAAATCAATTAAAATAAAAAATTAATCTAAAAATTAAAAAGAAAATAAAAAAAGCTTTTAAATGAAATCTTAAAAAAATGAAATTAAGAAAAATAACAATGAAGTCTGTAAAATAAGCGATTGAAAGAAAATGAAATATACTTTAAAGAAAAAATAGTTAAAATGCAAAGAAAAGAAAAAATAAGTTAAACATTTTAAAAATAGAAAGTAGAATATGCCTAGGTTCAGACGTTTGCTCCCTGCTCACAAACATGACTCTTCTCCTATAGATTGCAAATGTGACTCTTGCTTGCAGGTAGCTCCCTGCTCGTAGGTGCTACTTTCGTTTGCATACAATGCCTTCATAAGTTCTCAACTACAGGCTGGCATGTAACTATTCACTCCTGCACTAGGTGCTTGACTACACGCTGGCATGTGACTTCATCCTCTGTCTTGTACTTGCTCTCCTTTCAACCATATCCCCGTAATTTAAATTTTAAATTTAAACCCTCATGTAAATTAAATATTAATTTGAGGCATTAGCATGATGCGCTTTGAACAAAAATGCCATAAGCTTGTTCAAGCCTTAAACTTGAAAGTTTCAACGGGGCTTCATGGTGAGGCATGCCTCAAAGTGGGCACCTTGAATATTGTGAATTTTGGAGAAGAAAAAAATATTATTCCTCTTCAATTTCTTATGAAACTATTACTAGATAAATAGATGAGAATAACTCCCATATTAGGAAAGACATAAAATCAGTTTTAACTCTCCATGATAAAATAAGGAAAGAAGAATAATAATATACTAATAATTCTATTTTCTAAATATAGGAAGTACTAAAATAGAAGATACTAAAGAATATTCCTAAAATTCCAACACCTCCTCTCAAGTTGGCACATGAATATCTATCATGTCCATCTTGCTTACAAGGAGTTCAGAATTAGGCCTGAACAGTCCTTTGGTGAAAATATCGATAATTTGTTGATTTGTAGTGATAAATGACATGCAAATAGCTCCTCAATCGATCTTCTCTTTTATGAAATGCCGGTCAATCTGCACATGCTTTCTGCTATCATGCTGCACTGGAATTTCTGCAATGTTGATGGAAGCTTTATTTTCACTTTACAAGTTTATTGGCATGTTTATCAAAATCCACTACTCAAGATTTCTCTTCAACTATAACATCTCACACACTCCATTAGCCATAACATGATATGCTACCTCAACACTACTCCTTGCCTTCATATTTTGTTTCTTGCCATGTAACTAAATTTTTCCAGTCAACTAAGCCCACCCAGTTTGCATTAGTTTATGCTTCTATATTTTGTTGTGTGATTTTTTAAAAGAATAAGCTGCTGTTTTGCGTATTTTTTAGGAACAAAAGAATATTGTTAACTACTTCAAGGTGTTTCTCATAGGACGACTCCATAATTGACTTACCAAACATACAAAGAGGCAATATATGGTCGTTTATGTGACAAGTATATCAACTTTCTCACCACCTTATCTCCAAGTTTCTAATCGGGATCAATTAAA